CAGTCCCTGGCTGGCCACAATCCAAAGCCTGCCTGTCCTTCACTGAATGGTCCTGCCTACTATGCATTCATCTATCCATTCATTCATATATCTTTATCTAGCCAGCCATATCCTCTTCCATGGAACCGTGCGGACCAGGCCATAAAAAATAAACTCTGGGTGTCAGTCTGAACGGGGAGATGGCCAGGACCTAGGGGGGCTGTGAGGTCGGCACATTGGGGTCACCTGGGAGGGTAGCCCTTGTAATGGCTGCCTCTCGGCCAGTGTGTCTGCGGCAGTGTCAAACACTTCCTGAAGTGTTCCAGCTCTGCTTGTAACTTTTCCCGTTCCATGGCTAGCTTCTGTCTCTGGGACATCAGCTCCTACACACACAGGGTGGCACACAGGAAAATATAAGGTTAATAAAACAGTACAACAGTGAAGGTATATGGCATTAATACAAGGGAGGAGCAAAAAAAAGAGAAACCAGGCAGCAGTTGAATGCTTATGCTTCGTTCTCAGCTGAGCTTGCACTGCAAAACGTCAAATAAACACTGTTTCATTGGTCTGTTAATGCGACTGCTTTCTGTCATTCAGACATACTTTTACTTTATAGTCCTTATCCTTATGTCAGTGCCACATAAATGAGTGCAGCACAGTTTTAATGATGTAAAAAAGGGTATTGGTCAAAGCAACTACACTAAATTAATTCAGTATAAAAGACAAATGAGACATAAGAATGAAACAATTTCCTTTAGCATAACATCTATATGTAGACATGAGTTTCCATGCGGTACATTAAATTATCAGCCTGTCACTCATGCACTGATGTAAATGCAGGATAGACTGTTGTAGCTGGTTGAGGTGGAGCTCTGCTGAACTATTTTGTATCTAAGTGCTACTACTGATTATTTTCATTACGGATTAACTTGCTGATTATTTAGTTTGGTGACTTCAGCCTCCTCCTCTCTGCCATTTGTCTGCTGCATGCATGCTCGTGGCACCCGTTGCGGAGTATGACAGGTGGTCGGGGAAAAAAGGTGCACACACATTGCTTTTTTTTTTCTTCACTGATGGTAATAAGCAAATGTGAATGGTGTGATAACCGTCAATTTTCATACCATGGTACATCATGAAGCCGGTACACCGCTGCAACCCTAATCTGATTAGTTGAATAATTGGGTCCAGCACTAATCAGCACCTCTAACCAAAGTACAGTAATGTTTAGATGATGCTTGAGGTGTGAAGCTGTCAACATTTAACCAATAATGAGCAGCTGCTCTGTGTGCACCTCCTGTGTGCTGAAATCTAGCTCCCAAAAAACACCTCCAAAGCGGGCGGGGGGGCAGTGGAAACAAATGCAGAACCTGTAGTAAGCGTTACTCAGATGGACGCGTTTTGGTAGGTTGCTATAACGGAAAACCCCCTACAGACTCACTAGCAGCAGAGGTGTGGGTGTGGGTGGGTGTCTTACCCCCATGCTATGGGACAGCTGCTCAGCAGTCAGACTGAGGCTATAGTTCTGAGCTTCTAGTCTTCGACACTGGCTCTGCAACACTTGTCGCTCCAAGCTTTGCTCTAGAGGACAACAACAAATTAGGGAAACGAAAAGGAAAAACAGAAAATTAACCTCTAAGCAGCATCCAGAAAATGTGCTATGTAAACAGAAACTGCTACTAGGTTGATGTACCATAAACAATTTAATTCTTAAAACACACCAGTAACATGGTGCTAAAAAAATACTGTTGAATAGATGTCTGTTCAGTTTATTTTGAAATTGGTACAAATATCCAAAGTGCTGAAGTTGGCCCAGTTGCTTGAGACTTGCTTGCCAATTTTAGTGATTGAGAATCTTCACAACCGTCTGGTATTTTGTGAATGTCCCCATTCTGGGACCAATAAAGGTTCATCTTATCTTATGTTACAAATGCTGATTACAACACTTATTTACATGGGAGGATAAAGACGACCCTCTAGTGAGAAGAGAATGCATCATTATCTTAAAGATCTTCTTGTTTTCAATTGCATTTTATCGGTTTTTCAATAAATAACTTTTATCAGTTATAATTTTCATATCTACTCTCTCATCAGCTTGTTGGTCACCTGTAAAACACTTAATATTGCACCAACCTGTATGAAAGGTGCAATAAAAAGTCTGAATCACCAAACATTATACACCATCCAAATTAATGCATCATATACCCTTAGCAGCAGCAGGATAATCACTGCATCTTCACCATGGCTGCTTACCTTCAACATATTCCTGATAAGCTTCAAATATAGATTCAATCCCCTGCCACTTGGAAGCAGGAGCCTCTTCCTCCTCCTCTTCTTCCTCCTCAGAGTCCTCTGGACCAGACAGGTCCTCCTTTGTCCCAGAGGCCTCCCGGCGTAGGGGCGTAGGGAAGTGCTGCCCGTTGGGCTGAGGGTGGGAGTGTGAGTGCGGATGAGGGAATGAATGTGCATTTGAGTGAGAGTGCGACTGTGGCTGTGGTGGTCGGACAGGGGCGCCCTGAAGCTCTGGAATGTTGTAGTGAACAGAGGACTCCTGGAGATGAGATGACTCCGACATACCTGTGGCTCCACCTAAATGACAAAAATAAATATTAGCTGCAGTCTTAAGGACTTGATTCATTAGATTTAAGTTTAATATTACCTGCCACACGCTACCTAAATAGTGGGACATTAGTACTGCTACAGAACCGAGGCAGCCATCAAAAATAAAATCTAACATAACCGCAAGTTGCAGCCCAATATTTTAAATAATATTCTATATAATAATAGTGTTTCTACAGACACGCAAGTGAGCAAATTCTGCTGTTCATGACTTTCATGTTGTGCTTCAAACACAAGTACAGGTCCTGGCGTGACTTGTATGATTCATTCTTATTCTCAAAAGCAGTATATCTAGACTTTATACTGACCATTAGTCACCATCGCAGACAGTGGCTTGTGCTGCCTGCCTCTGTGTTTCTGCAGAGCCTTCTGAGTGGACTGAAGCACAGATTCATGGAACTGCTGGGCAAATTCCTCTGGGGTGAAGCTGTCCCAGGGTTTGGTGCATCCATTGACGCTGTGAAGGGCCTCTTTAGCCTGCAGGGGGAGCGGGGGCCGCAAGCTGTTCAGGAGGCTGGAGCTTCTTTTTGAGATCAGTCCCTCACTAGGGCCCCGGGCCTTGTCTGGGTAGACAGCTGGAGAAGGGGGTTCCTTTGGTCTTAATGTGTCCCAAAAGAGTTTTGGATGGCCACTGGGGGATGCTGGGCAGTGTGAGGAGGGGCTGTGTGGTCTCACACTGTGGTGTTCCTCTGATTCAGAGGGAGGCTGGCCAAACGCAGGATCTGCAATCATTTGAACATGTGTTAATCACAATGAGGTCAAGACTCACAAATGTACAGATGGAATGCTGCTGTTAGAAACTGTGGTTACTTTAGATGTGACACCCCATCTATTTGAATAAACACTAACCCAACACTTCAGGGACAAGAAAGTGTGTATGTTTCTGTTCACTAGCATGTGTCTCACCAGAGATCTGCGCTGGAGGGCTCTTACACAGTGGATGAGGGGCATGTCTGATGGTATCCAAGGTTATGCTCTTCTCTTTAATGGCCTGAAGCAGCTCCACCACCCTTTCATTATCTATGGGACAGAGGGGGGGATATAGGTATATATATATCTATATATATAACATGTAAATCTTTGAAGCATTAGCCCTGTATATGTATTTCTCCTAGCTGTGTGTGTATAGGGAGGTTGAGCATGGCTCGACGGCGTGGGAGGTAGTGCGCTGCCATCTGTAGGCAGCAAATAATAAATCAAGAGGATTAGAATCGGATCACTGCAAGCCCACTGCTGCCACTCCCAATTTCTTGTGTGTGTGTGTGTGTGTGTGTGTGTGTGTGTGTGTGTAGAACTGCAAGTGTCTACAAACAGAACCTCAGTACAGGTCTGTGTTTCTAATTAGTGCATGATAAAGCATTGCATTATGTAAACAGTTTAATATGATGCATACAAGTTGACATGACCACTGTTTGACCCCTTTAGGATTTCCTTCAAGGCTTGATTCAACATGTTAATGAAAAGGTAGTACATGAAAAGCAGTCAGAGCTCAGCTGAAGTGAAGCGTCAGCAAGCTCTGGAGCCAGCTCAGATGACTGCTACTTTTTTAAAAAGCTAAATGAACATGTAGCCAGTCATCCTTTCTCTGCTGAAATGAGGTGTCATGAGGAGACGTGGAACGGATAATGGATGAGGATGTAAGTCATGTAAAGAGCACCGGGTGAGTTCTGTGATCTGGTGGTTTCTAACAAGCTTCCTGAAGCACACTGAGTTAGCTTCCTGGGAATGCCAGTTATTTACTTAAACAATAAAGGTGCCATGGTTTATTTAAGAATATTAAAAGACATTGTTACATATAGTTAAGTCTTCCACTAATTTGTCTAGTTCTTGGAACATAAATAAAATTATTGATAAGCAACATTAATGACAGAGTCACCAATATATTGATCAGGTGTTTTAGCCACAAACAAACTTTAATCTGTGTACAACCATAAATTCCATTACCTCGCCTCTGCTGCACAGTGACATGGGATAGTCTGAACATGGTGAGGAAGCGCTTCTTATCCTCCAGCTCGGGTGCTCGGTCCATCTCCTCAGGGGTGTAGCGTGTGCTGAGTTGAGGAGGAGGAGGAGTGCGTTTTGATTGCGAGGCAGGTGGTGAGGGGCTGCGCTCCCTGAGCATCCTCCTCCTCTTCCTTCTTTTCTGCTGCACCAGCTCATTCCGCCGACCCACCGTGGTTAAGCCAAACACTCCCAGAAAGTCCAATTTCTGTGCAGAGGAGAAAAAAAAAATCTTATTACAGTGTTTTATCACGAGTGCTTGTGTGTGCTTCCATCATGGAATGCAGAGAAATGTGTGTGTTGGCAAGTGTTTTACCTCTGTGGAGTCATCCAATTTGAGCGGGGGCTGCTCTGATACTCTCCGGAGATGGGCTCTCACCTCCTCCTCATCACTTTCATCGTATGAGTCATCCAGCTCATAGTAGTAACCTGCAGCAAACACAGAGGTCACTATTGATACTTGAAACTTTTTAAATCCCCTAATAAAGTTGGCCGTTATATAAAACAAGATATGGCCTCTGATTGTCCAAGCCTGTAAGAGCTTATCAGGTTTAACAGTACGCCTGTGCCAGATACCTTTCTCCCGAGCCTCCCGTCTCCTCCTCTCCTCTAGGTCTAACTTGCTGACAGGCCTCCTGTGCTGCTGAAGAAACTCATCATAGATCAGCGCTGTGTCTGGACTCATCCCCAGTGTGGCTACCTGTCCTACCCCTGACCCAGCAACCATTCCTAGCCCTTGGCCATGTCTACTGTGACCCGGGTGTCCCTGGAGGCTCTTTGGTCCAGCATTGCTCTTCACAGCTGCCTCCAGTTCATACTGGCTGGACAGTGACAACGATGCCCTCTGCTGGCTGAAGAAGGTCTGGGTGGATTTCTCCAGATCAGCGAGAAATGTGCTGGGCTCAGACAGGCCAGGAGGACCTCGCAGTGGGGGGTACTTCTCCATTGGTCCCCCATCTCTCCTTCGAGCTCCATCCTCATATTTGGAGGGCCCTGGGGGCAGCCGACTGAGCTCATAGTGTCCTATCCCTGAGGGCTCATGGTTACGTCTGGACTCTGAGGCCGTTTCTATAAGAGACGCAGGGTTCCACAGGGTGGTGGGAGGAGGAGCGTGGTGTTCACGAGGTGGCTGTGGAGGTTTGGGGGAGATGAGGGGTGGAGGGGCTCCTAAGTGAGGGTGGAGGTCCCGACTTCCTGGTTCATGGTGATTTGGTATGGCTCTACAGAGACACAACAGAACAGGTTTCATGTATGTACAATGATGATATCTCTTCTCAAGTTGATAAATAAGGTTTCCAAATAACACACCAGACTGCTCATATGTGTTTCCCGTTTCCCTTCATCTCTGTCAGTATGTCTGTGGGTGTGGGTGTATGTGCAAAACTTTGTTATCAAGCCCAGACAGAGTAGCCCAGAGCAGAATGAGGATGTGGCCGAGACACACGCTGTCCTCCAGATATACAGACCTGTTTTTGATCTGTTTTTGGCCCTTGTAAGAAATATGGCATGTGTGCATACAGACACACACACACACAGATGGAAGGAGCAAGTACAGAAAGTAGTCTTCTGACAGACAGAGAAGAAAAGGACAGAATAATGAATTGTTAGAAAGGGGATCGCACATAATGATAAAAAAAAGAAATATGTAAAGGGACAATAATGTTGAAAAGGGAGAAGTGAAAAGCAATAATAGCAGTAAGAGAGAAAGACAGGCAGATGGCTGATGGACACTGTCTCGAGCATCTTTCCAAATCAAACCTGGCAGGAGTGCACACTGCATGACCAGTCAAATTATCTATGCCTCCTGATTGTGTTTGCATTTATGTGCGTGGGTGTGTGTCTGTGTAAATTTGTGTTATCTGCAATCTGCAGCCTGTGAGCTGTGATTCTGCGATTATACCATGGAGTTACTGATAGCAAATGTGCGTATCTGTCCTGTCCTGCCAATTTAGCATTAACCACAAACTCGCTTCTGAATCAAACCCAAAACAACACAAAGACAGGCACTGTAACAAAGGAAGGTAAGTAGGGGGCTCAGTGTGCAAGGTTGAGAGGATTAGCCAAGTATTAGCCTTTGTGTATCTTATCCATCCACTACCTGTTTGAAACTCTTACTTACTTACTACTCTTCTAAACACCAGGAACATGATTTAACTAAACATAGCTTCCTGTTTATGTGCATGTCAGACCTTGAAGGGTAGCGTGGATAGAAATAAAGTAGATGTGATGGTTCTACCAGGGTTTGCCTTTTTTTTATGTCCTGTCTGAAAACAAACTTCTAATGCCTGTCAGTATCTGAGGCTATAAAACAGACACAACTGTCCCTGTCAGACTAGCAGAGACAAATGTCCAAACATCCCAAAAATAGTGTGCACTGAAAGTATTCATGGATTTTGGTGTCACAGAGAGCACTGAACTTCCTGTCTCTATCAGATAACAATGGCAGAACAAATCTGCAATTGCAGAGTTATGTGAAAATAAATACTTCATGACAAGTGGTTAAACATTTTAAGTAGGTTTGAAATGTTGGCTGGAATACAATAGTTTACCCTTGTGAGTGCTGTCTGACCTGTGTGACTCTGTCCTGTGATCTGCTGCTTCAGCTGGCCGACCCAAGTCCAGGTGCTGCTCCAGAACCTGCTGGCGGAATTCTGACACCTGGTACTGACGATCCTCTTTCTCCTGCCGCAGCTTGCGTTGACGCGCCAGCCATCTCTCCTCTTCATTGGTCCTCTGAGCTACCATTGAACCTGGGAGCCCTGTCCCCACAGTGCTGGGCCCCATGTAGATGCCATGGGCTGATATCAGACCGGGGACCATATGATGTGATTGGACCATTGAAGAGTGGAGTCCTGGTGGGACTGGTTTGGGAGCAGGAAGGGCGGGCTCTTTGGTTTTATCTGCAGAGGGACATCAGTGTAAACATTTCAATATTAGCACTGCAGCTAGTGATTACTTTAATTTAACATTTATTTTCTCAATTCATTGTTTAATCTAGTGGTATATACAATGTCAGGAACAGGGAAACTGTGCATCACAAGTGGACAAGAGCACAAAGGCTTCAAATTGCTTGTTTTGTCTGACCAACTGTCCAAAACCCAAAAATATTCAGATTACTATCATAGGAGAGTAATCCAGAAAATGTCCAGGCTGATATAAAGAGTGTAGAGGGATGTGTTTACGTTGGCTACAGTGTAAGCACAGACACATACCAGCCCGATTTGGGGTGAGTCTCTCAGGCTTGGTTCGGTCCTCCTGCCCCCTCATGGCGTGGAGCTCAACCAGATAGTGGCTCTCCATGGCCTTGGACGCCTGCAACTCCTCCGTTAATGCTCTCTCCTTCTGCCTCTCCAGTTCCTTCTCTCTTTCTCGCTCCTTCTCCCGCTCTCTCTCTCGCTCCCTTTCTCGCTCACGCTCTCTCTCCCTCTCCAGCTCCTTCTCTCTCTCTCTCTCCCTCTCCCGTTCTCTCTCCCGCTCTTTCTCCCTCTCTGCCTCACGCTCCCTCTCTTTTTCACGCTCGCGCTCTCTTTCCCGCTCGCGCTCTCTCTGCCGCAGCTCATCCTCCAGCTGAAGCCTACAAAAGAAAAGCGGATAAAGACAGAAGCAGAAAGAAAATGGATATTAAAGTAGAAATGACGATTCATTAACACCACTGCCTATGCATGTATGTGTGGATGTGTGAGTTAAGTGGACTTTACCTCTCAGACTGCAATGCTGACAGTGAAGGGTGCGTGAAGTCTCCAGGGTAGCGAACCCCTGGTAGGTGCATGTGAACAGCAGAGGGGTGGAGAGGGGGTAAAGCTCCCCCTGCTGGCAGCGGATAGAAAGGTGACCTCAAAGCAGAGAGGCAGAACGAGTCATCCATCCTGGGAGATAAGAATTGCAATAACAAAAAGAAAAGAGAAAGGGAGAGAGTCAGTCTCCCCATGTGACAGTACAGAGTTTACTTTTATTAACCAGTGTGCCTCCATCTCCCAAATAAGCGACATCCCAGGGTCTTCAAGCTTTCAAGAAAGCAGCAGTGTCTGTCAGTTAACCTCAATCACTACACAGCAGCTAGCAAGACACTATGCTGTATGTTGATGCACAGCTGTGTGTTTTTGTGTACATGTGTGACATCCACTGCTCATCCCCTCATTAAATCCATTACAACGCAGTGTGTGATGGATGCTACAGTCTTCTGATCTTGCTGGGTTGACAGACCAGGGACACGCAGCCTGCATGATAGTCCAAAGCAAGCAGTCCATACTTACATGGACATGCATAGTATACATTTTAACCAACACTTCTCAGAAATTTGCTACTGTTTTTCTGTATGATCTATTTCTACAGATCTATTTCTCTAAAGAAAAGTAGCCTGTGTGAGCGTGGCACCGGTATTGGATGCGGGCTACTTTTCCGTGGCCCACCCTGTATAAGATCACTATGCTGTCACTCCTATAAAAAACAAACAATCACCAGAAATAAAAGTTTTCCTTCTGAGAGAAAACCACAGTAGTAAGCAGGATATAAACAGCTCAGGGTTACTTAAATGGTAATTTTTCAAAAAGCATGCATGAACAAGCTCAAGATATATAGAGTTAAGTGGCAAAACCAGCTTGTGTTGTCTTTTGAATGTTCATATTTTATCCATGGATATAACAAAGCTTGGGAGAGTAAGATAAAAAGTGGGTCTTGCTTCAAGCAGGCTTGGTTTAGGCAGCTTTTAGACATTTAAAACATCACCTTCATCTGTCTCATACTACACAGCTAATACTAGGGACTCACACTGCATCGACAAAGCATCTTAACAGCAACTCTGAAAGCTGGAAATGACATTATTGCAGCCTTTGACAATAAATTGTGATGCATATCTATTTTTTAAATCAATCTCTTACAAACAGTTTGACATACAGTAGCTAACCAAAATGTTTTGAAACACAAGCTTCTTAGCAGCAGTCTGTCAGATGATACAGTAGTATATGGCTCTCATGTAGGTGCACTCAGTATGATAAACTCTCATGTATTGCAAAGAGGTGCTAGAAGGTTCTGATACTCTGACCTTTGTTTAAACAGACTTCCTTCTTGTCTATACAGAACCTGATATTTTTTGGGTTGCCATCCGACTCAATCACTCCTAACTTCAACTTTCTTACACAATAAAATCTATCCCTAGTTAAATAAATATAAAAATGAAGAGTATCAACAAAATATTTTTCCTCTGAGAACATGAATTCAAGGTCAGCTATACACTAATGCCTTTACTGCTGAGTCTAAGCATTACAAATACTTCAGTTATATGCACTGTTTTGCACAGTTTGCTCTCAGAGGAAATGGATGCAGAGTCAACAGAACAAGTTAATGGACAGGCTTACCTGTATGGTGTGAAGGAGGGGTGGGGCAGGTAGCTGGGGTGATAGTAGGCAGCTGCAGCGGCTGCAGTGGCAGGGTCCAGGCCCAAGGGCAAAGAGGGCATGCGGAGTGCATCCTCAGTCGTGGCATAGGGCCGGAACCCGCGGAGGTACTCTTCTGGTACAGGACCAGGGGGCACTGTGTTAGGCAACTGTCTGGGCAGACTGAATAAGAGATGGGCAAAACAGAGGAAAGTCATGGTTAGATTGATTTGTATTCATGTTATTCATTGTTATGCTCCATTTACCAGTTTTCACAAAGAAACTATAAATTCTAACCACCAATGGTAACAAGACAAATGTTTGTAGCAGCTGCTTATTCCAGTGAGTTTAATCCATCTCTGAATTACTGACCACATACTTGTATTAAAGTGTGCAGAAACTTCCTTTTAAAGTGAAAACATGGAAATTCAGCAAATTCAGACAAAAAAGGCAGAGCAGTGTGTGACCCACCTCAGGGGCTGGAAACGTGAATCCTGCATGACAGCCCCAGGGGTGAGACCAAAGGCATAGGGGTGTCCCAGGAGGTGGGCAGGAACAGAAGGGCCACCCTTTTCCTGGGCGAGGGTTCCCTCTGCACTTAGACGTTCCCTGCTGGCCCCACGAGGCCCCGAGTCAGCCTGGAGAAAGATATAGAGAGACAGTCTCAGACATTGTTCAGGAGGACCTGTGACCGTCACGGTTGTCAGTGCTCATGGAGCCCATCCAGTGAGGGGGGAGATGGGGGGAAGGAATAGGCCGATTTGTGGTGCAGCAGCCTTCCTCGCTCTCTCTTCCTATCTCAGGCACTTTTATGCACTTTTTCTCACACACCACCATCCTATAAAAATAGATGGATCAACATTTCTCTGAGGGGAATAAATGATAAATGGAGGAAGCAGGCAGAAAGTGCTGAGGGGAAAAACCAACCCCACTGTTTTTCTCTAATTGCAAACAAGAGATGTCATCGTTTTTATCAATGAGGATGTGGTAATGGTAGATGTACAACAGCAGTACTTCTAAAGAGATGATGACTTTGATCATGACAAAGTGCGTGTATGTGTCTGTGCACAAAACGTCCACACTAACTCTCATTTACTTCCCTCCCTCCTTTGGCAGCAACCCTGGTCTCACTTACCCCATCCCACAACAAACGCACACACGCTCGGCAGGCATACACACCGTTTCAAAGCTACAAAGACATCCTGCTGTGGGAGTGGGAGTGCATTTTCTGAACCTTTGGTTTCCCTTTGCCTACAAATGCAACTGCAGAACTGGGAAACTTAGAATCCTTGTAAGCTGGACAAGGAAATTGTTTATAGAGGAATATACAGGATTTTCACAGGAATGATGGAAGAGTTCCGTCATCTCTTGTAAACTGAGACTTGAAGCTGGCAAGGGAACAACTAGAAAGAAAACAGAGAGGGAAGTAAGGCAAGATAGTGATGAAGCCATAAAGAAGACGAACCAGAGGAGAAAGTACTTCTTGCCCCACTAAATTAACCTCTGGGCTCCCTGGGATTAGAGAGAGACCTCAGGGCAGCACTGTCCTCTCTCTCACTACTGCCTCTGATAAAACAAATCCCATTTAGTGAGCCATTACCTTTACATCCTGTTCTGCAGCCACTGACCCAGACTGACACTGATGCGTTAACATCCCACTTTGTTTCTTAGACCCCACTCCTCAACTTCCAGTAGTTTAGTGTTACTGTTTGCTCATTGTTGTTTGATGCGCTTCACTAAACAGTAAGGCACTTTATTCCCTCAAACCTTCCATCCCCCTCCTATCAAATCTTTATGAGCACAGGGAGAAGATGGATGCTCCTTTACAATCAGCAGCCAACTGGAAAAAGAGGCTCATATATGTCAAAAGAAGTCAATATCAGATAGTAGCTTAGGAACCACAAGATGCCAGGCTCTTTGTTTGCTCTTTGTTCTTGTCTAACCCTATCAAAACCTGATCGGTGGCTATCTCAATATCTGACTGTAAATACCCTCATGATATTTGTGGCAAGCACATACACACACGTTTACTCAAAATTCTTTTCTTAATCCACATGAGTTTGCAGATGAAGTCATGGACATGCATACTTTGTGTGTATCTCCCTAATCCCTCGACTCCTGAGCATCATAAAGATGCACTGCTGCAGGTACATATTACTGGAGAGCAATAACGTGCCTGTAAAAACAGAAGCAGCTTTTGTTTTTATCACAGTGTCTGTCCGTTAATCATTTGCTATAATCACAGTGATACACCATACCAAAGTAGCACTTTTGCCTCAATGTTTGCCCCATCTTAACCACTTATCAAGCCACAGTGACTATATCAAGATAATTACTATGGGATTAATTTAAAAAATTAAAACAACACTCCATTGACATCAAAAACATAAGAATCTGCTCAGAAAATAACATTGGGCAAGGTCTGTTTACAATTTATTTATAACCGTTGAACACTGGTTCTCTGATATTTATAGTAGTAGTTGGTATAAATCAAATGTGGATTGAAGCTGTGTTCAATATCCGGCCTCATATATAAACTTTGTGACAAGGGCGTGGTTTCATAATCATAGCTATAACTTAACAGCTGTCAACTGAGGCAACCCTCGCACATGGAATACTACAAAATTGAATGAACTGTTCCTTTCAAACAAAGTTCATAGAAATCCCATCATAAGAGGATGGAATAATGATACTTGTAAAATAACAAAGCACAGTGGTGCCGCTTGAAATTTGCAGCTGACTGCTTCTGCTTTAATCCTCTCACTTAAAAGTCCCTCTTACATGTGAGAAGATCAACAAAAATGAATGTAGAAATGTGCTTGTAAATGAGAATTATACATATGGCTGTCAAGCTGTGTGCACTTTTTTTTTTTTGTCTGAGCTTAGTTCCTGTTTGTGTACAGACCACAAAGACAGAAGCATCCATCCCCATTAGAAAGGCACCTTAGTCGTTCAGGAACCTGCACATCCCGTTTTGACCTTTCAACCTGCCAAAAAACAGACTTCTGTTCTCAAACACATTATTCACCAACAGCCTGCCATATACACACTACAGAGCACAAATACAAGCACTCAGACTCAAAGACGCATCCATTAACAGCTATCTTCCTCTGTGTGAGCCAGGGCCCTGTAACCCCCAGTGAGGGTGGGAGACCCCATGCACTGTAGAGCGCTCGTTTACGCCTCTCAGATGGAGCCATGAATCCAAATTGCCAATTAAAAAGCAATTACAGGCAGCGGCGGGAGCAGACTCCTGTAGTCATTAAAGCAAAATGCCAACGCACCAAGCTCTCCCTCCTTCCCTGCCTTGCCCCCCCATAAAAAGAAATCTCAGCCAGAGCAACACTAATCAACCCTTCCAACACACAGGAAGCAGGACACACGCACATATGTACACACAGCAACAGACAAGCTTTTCTTGGATGCTTTTCATGAGATCCAGTGCTGCCTATGTATGCAACTCTTTTCTCTGTACTTCTCCTCCCTGTCACACATTCCTTTTGTCTTAAAATCTTCATTTCTGACCGTTTCTTATTATACTTATCATCCCATTCCTGTCACATGGAAAAACACAGGATGTCATAACATGGCACACACAAAATTTAGCATATAAACTTAATTATACAGTAGTAGACATAGAAGGTATAAGAACATAATGGTAAAGTGCAAAGGGGCAAATAAAGTGTTCTTCTTCCCTGATGGAATTATCAATGTTAGCAAAGCTCCAGACAGTGTTGTCCTTGTTTAAGAGGGACTTGTTGATGGCCTGTGTATCCGTGTCCTTTACGCCCCATGGCTCTTTGAGATCACAGTTATATGTGCTCACTGAAGCACTACCACGGAAATAGGGGAGATGCTATGATGCCAGTTTTTGTGACACATCCCCTCTGCTGCTCCCACAACCTCTAACCCCACCATCCTCACCTCTTGTCCACATCACCTCCCTTAACCTCCTCATTATTTGGCTGGGTGGCCCAAGCTATTGGAAGCATCACAAACCCAGCGACACGACCTCTTTCAGTTTGAGCTTGACCTCACACAAACACACCGTGCAAGAGCACACAAACATATCCCAAGGATTAGCTACAATATATGTGGATGGGAGTAGCGGAAGCTTCTGTCCTTTTATTTTTTTCTTCTGCTCTGCTATGCTGAAGGAATGGCAAGAAGGGTGATGTCAGTGGGAGTTTTCCCGTCTCTCCAGCCCCTCCCAGCTCTGGATGACCTATAAACTGCTCAAGGGTCATTTTATAAAAGCTATGGGGACAGAGGGTGAGGGTCAGGAGGGGTGTCCAGGGGAGAGGACAATGGCCTGAGTGCTACCAGCAACTGCTGCTTAGCTGACCTCCTCACTTACCCTTCACTATTCCCTTTCTCTCTGTCCCCAGGGAACCGTCACAGTGACTTGTAGTCTGCATGTTGCTAAGTGCTGTTCATAACCGTGCGCTTGGCCTCGACCATTAGCCCTGAGCTGAGATAAGAAGGCTTAAAGCAAGGCCATAATCCATAATCCACTCCTTATCAAAGCAAGCAGCTCCCTCACTCTCTCTCACTATGTAATAGAAAGCAGGTGTCAGGTGACGAGGCGGAGGATGCACTTGACTGCTTGAATGAAGAGGGTGAGGCTGGAGGTGAGACTTGGGGACGGTGCGGGGGGCTTAGGAGGCAAAAGGCTGGGTACTTGGGAAGGGCTCATCCAAGGCCATGGGGGCCGTGGGAGGGGGGCTGCAGGGGCACAGATGTTAGCTGACGTTGAGATTGTCACCTCGATGTCCCAGTGGCAGCTGGCATTGTTTAACGCATGAAGTCATTAGGGTGGGGGTAATGGGGGAGGTTTTAGGGAAAGCAGACATTCATAGACCCGCCAGCTATGTCACATGTACATATGTCAAGAATGTACTGCCACACTGTGAGTTACAGACCAGCTTCAGGATCCATTACTCCCTCGAGAGACTGTTTGTGTGCATGTTTGTACTAGCAGGCAAGCTTAAACATGAGAGCATCTGAATGTTGCCCTAACAGCTAGAAAAGAGAGAGAGGAAAATACAAAGAGAGAAAATACACTAACAATTTGAGACTTCAGACAGAGCAACTGAAAGAAAAAAAGGGAAGTAAGACAAAGGACGAGCACAGGCTTATGTCAGTACGAGGTGTGTTTTAATGGGGTTTTACCTGGCGCCCCTCGTTCCTCCAGAGGCCGTTGCTGGTCTTTGTTGGAGCAATGGTGACTACAGGCGGAGTGTTTGGCACGCTGTGGCCTGCTGGGGGAACCAGGACAGGCCCTGGACCAAGGGGACCCCTCTTGGGTGTACTGACTGGAGAGCTGTGGTTGGTGGCTGGGGAGGACACTGGAGAGGATTCACTGCTGACGGAGGACGCAGCTGGGAAAAGACAGTGAAACAAAGTATGTAACAGTAAGGATGCTAATCATGTGTCTTGTAAATGTAACAACATTATGACCCCATAGCGCCTTCAGCATTATAACAGCAACAAATAACGTGCATGTGCGTGCACACACACACACACACGCACACACACACACACACACACAGCCAGATGGATGGCCACTGGCCCCTATTATGATGTGACGTGATCAGGATGACCAGCCCTGTGAGGGTCACACAGTCTTGACATGCAGGACACACAACTCGAGAACACACTGCATGACAGTGTACAGCGATATTGAATGTATGTACAGTCATTGGCACTTACAGCCACACACAGAACTCCCCTGCTTCCACTGCATACACACACAGCAGGTGGTGAAAAGCTGGTCCAATGAGCTTCTCTGCTGCGCTGTAGCTGTGCCACATTAACAAAGCCCTCCAGGGAAACCCTGTAGTGCAGGGTCACAGTCTGGTCACATGCCTTGCTTTCTCCCTGTCTAGTTCCAAAGCTCTCTTATGTTATGTTCATATTCACATCTGTAATTTTATGCTTCCTTACATCTTCACTTTCCCCCATACAGGCTATACCTTTTGTTCCTCTTAACTGTGTCCACTTTCTCTTCCTATCTTTTTGATCCTTTAGTCTTCTCTCTTTTTCTTTGTTTATAATTTGCTCTCCCCTATGGCTTAACATGTGTGTTGTTTCTATGATTCCTGTCATTCTTTCGCTTCTTCTCCCAGCCTCCACCTTTTCTCCTGACAGTGCAGTGTGCTGTATGTCTCCTCTGCTCAGAGCAAGCACAGAATTACACAGTCAAACTGGGTCACAGCCCTCTCTGTGGGACATACACTTCGGCGTTGCAGCAAGGACAGCAGGAGATGTGTGCTTTTGTGCCTGCACGTGCAGGTTGGGTGCTTTTGTGCATCAACGTGCTTACAGTACATGAAGTCTCAAGAAAAGGCAGCTGAAACCACAGGCCAGTTTCAGGTCTACTTCCTCTCCAATTATCACCATCAGCACAAAAACCACAGATTCTACCAACCGCCATTTCTTCCCTGCTTCGGTTTCCTTAGCAACATAACCTAACAGACAACGTCAGAGTGTGGTGCAGTCAAGATATTGACAAATTTTAAACACCTCATTCCTTCTAACACCTCTAAATAATGAAAAAAATAAATCAATAATGGCAGTGAGGTGATGTCTAGAGAAAATCTAAAAAAATCTATGTGAATGGTAGTAAAAATGACAAGGAGAGGGTGGGGGTGGGACAGGAAGAAAAAGATGTGAGCAAAAGATGGCAATAATGATGACACATTGTAAGGTGAGATATGAAAATGAAAAATGATACAAGATGGGGAGTGACTGGAGAAAAAAAAACAGCAAGTGAGTGCAAAAGAGGTGCGAGGTGAGGCACAAGATGGAGCAGAGAGGAAACAATGGAGATAAGGGGTGCAGATGGATAAGTGGGTGGTGGGGATGGGTGGGGGTATATCTTGTCTTCACAATGGCAATTAGTGGCCTAATCCTCCCCTCCTCACCTCTGAGAACCATTACTCTCCCCTGCAAGACTAGGCCAATCAATAGCAGCCCACTCAGCCTGGGGAATGGAGCTACACTTAATACAGCTCTAGTGTCACAGCCTATTCACTCAACACACACACACACACACACACACACACAGACACACACACACACACACACACACACACAAGCTCACAACATGCATACACAAGGATGAGTGAACAAATAAGGCTGAAGGGAGGGAAGAGGCAAGGGTGGTGGCAATCAGTGATTCTGAACTGCTAAGCAACAGACCTCTACTCCATCCATTTTGCTCACCCCCCATCTCTACATCTCCCTCCCTCCTTTTCCATGTAGAAGCAAAGCAGGATGGAGAAGAGGCAGGGCAGACTAAATAATTAAGAGAGCAGGAAGAGAAGCAGGTGAGGGGAAGAAGGAAATAAAAGAGACAAGGGCCATCTACAAACTGCTTCTTTTTCTTCTTGCAGCTTGCAGAATCTGTGTACACTTCTAGGCGTCTTCCTCTACAAGTATACACACAAAAAAACACAAACAGCTATTATTCCTCTATCATTTCTTCTTCCTTCTCTCTATCAACACCCCACGCAACCACCGCCCACCCACCATGTCTTCATACACCCTAATTCCTTTCCTTCTGTTCTTCAAACACTGTGCCTGCCAACCAGACATAGATCTGTCAGACTTAAAGCACAATTTTTATAAACACATTTACAATACTTACAATGCAGCTGGTGAGAAATCAGGGAGATGTGTAGGACAATGGAGACATTTTTTCATGCGTACATCTATGTACGTTTATGTTCCTGTTTAAACCACAGAAAGTTTATTTATATATATCCATAAGCCTCTTTCATTCATTAAGCTACCACCATTTTCAACCCTCCTGCTCTGTTTTCTGTACCAATCCCTCTCTTTTCTCCTCCTGCACATCATCATGCAATTTGATAGGAGAAAAAATTGTATATGAGACGCATAATTGGCACCAAGCTGGTGTTATTTCTGCCATATGCGCCTCCCCTTCCATTGATTCAGACAGAATATGGCCACACATGCTGTCCATGTAGGAGCGAGTGCTGCCTTCATCCCCAAAAAAAAAAAAAAAAAAAAAAAAAAAAAAAAAAAAAAGAGGCTCATCAGCTCTAAACCTGCACTTCATTAGTTTTAGTGATTGTCACTTGCTTGGCATGTAGGGTTGTGTGTGGTACAGTGTGCTGTGGAGAGTGTGTGTGTGTGTAGGGGGGTGCAGGTACTGGGATTGAGAGACAGAATAAAAAAGGTAAGGGACAGGGGACAGAAGAGTTAGAGACAGAAGGAAAGCGCAAGGAAAAAGAAAAAGAATGCTGTCTCAGTCCCAAGCTGCGCGTGATTAATGTGAAGCTCCTTTTTCTATCGCCTCCTCTATTACCAGTCGCGCTCTCCTAGGCTGCCTCCACACTTGATTGCTCAAGCTAAGCCACATATGTGCACAAACACACCAACAACCAGCAGCAGCAACAAACAAACAATCCAAGCTGTGGTCAGAGGCTGTGGTCAAGTTGCACAAATGGCACCTTGCAGTCACTGACCCAATCAAAAAGCCAAAAAAAAGTCACCACTGCTCTTCAGCAGGCTCATTCATTTAATAGCAGCGAATCCCACTGGATCACTAAGCCTTGATAGGAAGTCAGCAACACTACACAAAATGTTTTAGTGCTGCCAAATGGCCCCTACCAATCCCATCCCACTACCACTGCTGCCTCCACCGCCCCTGCCAAACAGCCAAGCTAGCCAGGCAGAAGGTGCTCTCCTCCCCACCAACATGCCCACCCCACCCCACTCCTCCTCCTTCTACCTCCCAGCATGCATTACAACAGCATCAGCACTTAATTAAACAGTCCATTTCACACCTGGTGTGCATAGCAGTGCCCAGCCAACCCTGCATCCATATGCCACCCCACCAGCGCACACTAGCACAGGTTTCAACATGTGCACTCAAACACACACACACACACACACTTAAAGACACTCAGTAACCACTGATGCACACAAACACCACACACACCTGCTAGTATAGTCTTGGCCATGCACTCCCAACACAACACAAAGCCTGTAATCTGCATCACTGACTGGGGGGGAAGGGAAAAGCACACACTGTGTGTTGCTGTGCCAGTGAAGGAAAGGAAGATGGTACAAGATGGCGAATGGAAATAAGAGGAGCAATCCTCTGTCTTCTGCTGACTACAAACTGTATATTATGCTTAAATGTCACTTTACAACTGAAAAGAGTCATGACAGGTATTAGGTGGGCTGATCCATATTTTTTCAGTTCCAATCTGATTCCGATACAAGAGCTCTGTCACTGCAATAAAACAACCAACACTAATAAACAAAATATTAAATATGAGCAATGATAAATAAGTGCAACCAGTAGATGTCAGAGGCCAAGGACACACACTTCTCCAAATGATCGCATATTTACAAATCTCCACTTCTGGGCTAGAAATAAACATGTAGCTTTGGTTTTGCAAGATTTACCACTGAAAATGCAGCCAACATTAGGGCAATAATAATTTATTATTAATTTAAAAAAAAAAAAATCTGCCTCAAGGGTCCAGTAAAGTGGCAACTGAGTGGAGGGGATCACCTTTGAGGCTGCTCACATCTGAGGTCCAAATATTAGTTGTGAAACTCATCATTGCTTTAACATCTTCTAACTGCGCTGCCAACTGTGATGACACTCGGTTGTATAGTTCGGGTAAAGCAATCTCTGAAATGCATTTTCTGGATGGCAGATGGCTCTGAGTGCTCCAACAGGCTGCAAAATCCGACATTTTCCACAACAGATAGTGGTTGGTCATTGAGTACAATAAAGTTGAGCAACGTCTCTGTAATCTCTTAAGCCTTTGGGTTGTCTGCTGGAAGTTTATCATATTTCTGGAAAGCATCAGCAAGAGTCTGCTGCCTAGTGGTAGCATGATGTCAGTACTGACACCATGGCATCATATATGGCTGCCTTCGTAGCACGCTCTCGTGTGTTTGTTGTTTTTCCTCATTTTCTCTGTCTTCTGCAACCCATCCCAGATTACCTTCACCAGAGAAAAGCTACTAAACAACAGACAACTCACTCCAAACACCTTTTCTCCAGTTTGTGCTAATGCCAAAAACTTGTGTGGACATTCCGGTCAGAGGGGCAATTTCTGCTCTCTAGCCAACAAAATGGATGAATTCCTTCTCGTCAACTGGACTAACTCTGACTTCTCATGCTCTGCTGCTCTATGCTTCATGGACACTTGGCTCAGTGACTCCATCTTGGACAGCGTAATACAAATGTGTAAAGATGTCAAAGTGTTAGAAACACAGACTTGGAGGCTCTAATCATCAACTGCAAACCATTTTATTCTCCCAGAGAATTTTTGTCATTCATTCTGGTCAGAGTGTATATAAGACCACAGGCCCACGCTAGCACACTACAGCACCTGACTGAACAGACCCAGCAGCTGCTCCGCTCATGATCACCTCCCACCCCACCACACTCGCCACCCCTGAAGACCTGTGAAAAGGATGTGCATGGCCTTTTTAAAAAACAGATCAGAAAGGCACCAGGCCCAAACGGTGTGACCCCCTCCTTCCTGCCTGAAAGCTTATGCTGATCAGCTGGCCCCCATCTTTACAAAGATAGTGGCTGTGGCTCACGAGGTAGGGCAGTCGTCTCCTGACCAGCAAGTTGGACCGGTCTCCCCGCATGCCTAAGTGTCCCTGAGCAAGACATTGAACCCCCGAATTGCTCCCGGTGGCTTGAATAGCGCTGTTGTGTGGCAGCTGTCGTCATCGGTGTGTGAATGTTCTGTGTGAATGGGTGAATGGTGTATCATCTCTGTAAAGCGCTTTGTGGCGCAGTGTAACACACTGTGGAAAGAAACCCTCCATCAGTGGACTGGATGGCTACCTGTCTCCCTGACATCTGTAGTTATGAAGTCCTTTCAGAGACTGGTGCTGGCCCACCTGAAGGACATCGTAGACCCCCTGCAGTTTGCCTATGGGGCAAGCAGGTCAGTGGATGATGCAGTCGACATGGCACATGCTGCAACACCTCAACTCCCACAGACCTACGCACAGGTCCTCTTTGTGGACTTCAGCTCGACATTTAACACCATCATCATGGACATCTTCCAAAACTGACCCAGCTCACTGTGCCTGCCCCTGCCTATTTCCTCACTCAGTTACAGACTGAATTTGCCGTGGTAAGATGTGGAATGGAATCTGGATCGGTGATGTGTCTCATGTTACGTTATGTTACAGTGGGTTCATGGTCTGGCACAAGCTGCGAACTAGAATAGGGATCGGCCCGGTCCGTCCAGTATCTGATGAGTGAATGACGTCAATATTGCACCCGATACCGATATAGAATCAGATCAGGCCCATCTCTAGTAAGGTTGCTGTGTATGGAAAGAGAGAGAGAGATAGAAGAAGAAACCACATGAGCTTGTTTGTGTTTCAGGGATAGCCACAGCCTGAAGGGTTTTGCCTTCAACGCACACACACACACACACACACACACAGAGCAGAGCGAGGCAGTGTGTGCTCCAGATGGAGAGGTCAGAGAGACACTGCCCTGCTGTCCCAGCATGGTCTGTGCTCCCAGAAACAAGGGGAGCCTCCAGACATGCACACACACTACAGAAATACACATACACACCGTCGGACAATCTCCTTAGGTTTTCACAATTCTACTAATTACTTCTGATTTCTCCTTTTTCTAGCCATTTCATTCAAGCTATCTTGTATACCTTTACTTTCCTTGTCATCATTCTACCTCCAGGCAAGTGCACTACAGTTGGTATGAGCACAGTCATGAAATTCTAATAATGTGCATGTCTAAGAGTGTGCAAGGACAAACAACTGAGAGGATTAAACCCAGATCTGCCTAATTAATCAGATATCAGCAGGCCTGCCTTTTTGAGGCAGTGCGTTATCTGTCTTGTGTTTGTTCGTACATGCCAGTGCTATCCTGTGTGCATGTGAGTGTACATGGGATGAGAGTGTGTCCTTTATGCTGCTCTGATACTCATTATCCATCACCTCACCTCTTCAGTGCAGCGCTCAGTACACAGAGCTATTCATTATACTCGCCACAGACAAGTGACGATGTATGTGTCTGTGTGTATGCGTGAGAGGGTGTGTATATAAACAGCAGCTGTGCTCAGGGTCTTAAATCAGTTCAGCAGCCAGTGGCAGGGATACTGGTGCTCAAACCTAACTAATTCCTCTAGGCCTTAGGACACCGAGTCATGGTACCTCATATATACTGCACTACTCACCTCAAAGCATCAACCAGAGGGTGAAAGAGACAAACAGAAAGAAAGAGGGTTTGAGTGAAAGCAGCTAATGAAAGGACAGCAGGCTAGAGCATGCAAAAAAATCATGGGGCTTGCACAGCTGCAAAGACAGCTGTTTGAATATGTGTGGGTGTGTGTGTTGCCTATAAATACAGACTCTGCAGACAGAGAGGTGACTGGAGCTCAAGGGGCCTCGTGCCTCTCTGCCCACCCCAGAGGCAGTGCTCATAACACGGGCAGAGTCACCCCTTATGCCTGACAGCTGACTCACTGCTTACACCAGCCAGTCAGCACAGTCAGCAGGCCTCAGAAATATTAAAGGATCTTTTTGCTGTTTTAATAAAAAGGTGGTAGAGCTTTATCAGACAGGATATGGTGTCTGTTTGTATGACAAAGATACAGGCAGGAACTCTCTGCCTCCATACACCATGAATTACAAATAAAATAGTGCACGTTCATTCTCATCTTACAACAGAATAAAAAATAAAAAGCAGAAGTATTAAAACTGTGACTAACAGAACACGACTCTTATGATTGACTTAACTCTCTAGCTGCAACTGTCAAAAAGGATAAGCAACACAGATAAGAAAGATAAAAGACAAAAAGATGGGACTAGAGCCTGGAAGTGAATTTTATTACTGCCATGCAGGGTTGAGGGAGTGTAAAGAGATGAAAGAGAGAAGGACTGAGAGGGAGGTAAGGAGAGGCTAGGGCTTAGTGCTCTCTCTATCTGTGGGTAATAAATCATCTGCTTGGTTTTGGGTGCCAGGCCGGGGTGGGCTGGGGAACGAGGTGTCAGGGACAGCCAGTAAGGACAGAAATATCTGATTTAAGGGCCAGGGCAAGGGTGGACACCTGGGGGAGCTGAGCCTCTTTGGAGCCAAGCCATAGAGTCGCACACGCTCGAACTCGATGATAAGAATTTCCCTACTGAGCCTCTTCCTGTGCAAGTTTTGCTTCATACACTTCTTTGTAAGTTTCAAAGGTTCAAGGTTCAAAGATTTTTATTTTCAATTCACTATATGTGCAGGCCGTACAGAAGTAATGTTTCTCTCTCACCTAGTATTGAGTGCCATGCTATTTAGGAACTTAAATAGAATAAAAGTAGAATAAAATTGAATAAGAAACTGGATTAAAGTAATTAGAATAAAAACGGTACAACCAATAGGCTATGACTCAAAAAACAGTGTACAGTCAGTGACAGTAGTGCAAACAATAACAGAAAGACTGTCATCACTGGGTTAGCATCACCAGGGCGTTGGTGATGAGGTGCATGATAGCATATGAGATGTATATGGACAGTAGTGCAAATGACCAGCAGCAGATATGATGGTAAAAAAAATGTCAGCAGCAGAACAGAACAGCAGAACAGCCAGAACAGCAAATGATAGCCCTGCATGCTTAGTGTTAGTTCAGACAAACAAAAAGGCTGCCATTCAGAAGACAAACTCGTCAGCTTACTTTTCTGTACATTTTGTGACATATGTCTGCACACTAGTGCAACACCAGTTCCAAAAGTCATTCTTTTTGTAGTGAAAGCAATTCTTGAAGTCATTCAGACCAGATTAAAATGAGATCTGAAATCTAAAGGTCTGCAGTGCATTTTTGTCACAGTATTCCACCCCTAATGTGCAGGCTGTGTGGTGTTACCTCGAGGTTCTTCAGCCTGTTTTGCCAGTTTACGGAGGGCTGCAGCGAATCCAGAGTGAGCAGACTGAGTAGCTGGGCTTCCATTGACTATGATGGAACCGTTGAGAGGCGACGGGGTAAGGGGGCTGACTGTCGCCGTGGTACGGGTTGCCGTGGAGATCATTCCTAACGATGGTGACTTTGGCTCATGGCTCATACCTACAAATTGGATGAAAGGGAGGAAATGTGAAAGTATGATTAATCAATACTATATTCAGATGAAAGAACCAACAACCAACTGTCATGAGGATTGAGTCAATAAAATTACTTTCATCCCTATATTTACACATACTCAGTTTATTAGGTACATCAATCTGAAACTAATGCAGTCTAATAATAATAAACGCTTCCTATATGAAAGTGATAGTGTTCCGTTTTGTTTAGACTCTTTCACAGTCCTGTCGATTCAACGGTGGGGTAATTTTGGAACTTGCAGTATTGAGTTATACTGACAGGTGTTTTTATTATTTTCTCCACTGTCTTTATGACAGTAAAGAGGCTTCACCTCTTTGTAAGAGTTCAACAGCAGCACAAACTGCAGTCCCCAAAATGATCACACAGTTAAATCAACACCTCTCTAAAATAGTGTCAACAATAACTAAACATTATTACCTTCATAAAGGAAGGATTTATTGTGGGACTATAGTATTAGACCGTGTCAGTTTTAATTAGGTGTATCTAATAAACTGCCAACAGAGGGTATATAGCAAGAAGTATGCAAAGACCAATGTAGACAATTTGCTGTTTCCCTGGACACAGAGGCAGAATATCTGTTTGTGACAGCTGGGGTAGATGGGAATTGGTGTGAGGGGGGAGAAGGGCTTTGGTTGTATGGGTTAGGGTCAAAGGTCAGAGGGTAGGAGAGCAGGTCACCCCTTCCTGTGCTCAAAGAGCTCCAGTCTGTCTGTGTGTCTGCCAGAGGTCACAAAGTTTACAAAACACCTCTACTAAGGCTGGGCCCACACTAGTGGATTTTATAATCTTCACTGATTTTAAAAACTTGAGTGACCACAGACATAAAGACAGCTGTTAACAGTTTTTTTCACATTTTAATCTTAAGTGCACACACACTAGATGATTCAGACAAGAGGCAGGACCACACACTTTCTGTTTTTACCAAACAATTTCAGAGACGCCAACTCCTGGGATCTCACAGAAAATCACGTGATCAAACGTGACTTCAGAACAAAACAAACATGGAGGCGGACATTTGTCGTCAAGCAGTAGCACTCATGCGCACAGTTTTTCACAGAGAAAAAAAACTGTGCACGAAGACTATATCAATCCGGGTTAGGCACTTTGCAGCAGAAGCTGGAGGCAAGTTGGAAATTAAGTTATATTACTCAAACGAGGCCAGTGCAAGGTAATGCTGCAAGCTAACGTTAACATCCAGTTGTGACGCTTCACGGCCAGCTCACTGTCATTGACTGGTCAGGATTCAGTAGTTGTTTCCTTTACACTACAGGATTCAAAGTCATAAATATCAAACATGTTTAATACTTAGGATTCAAGATCTGAGGCCCTACGATCCTGTTGGAGGCATAACGATTAGTTCCATTGACACTACAGGATCATTTGGTCTGAGAATTGCTTCCAAGCGGCCTCACCTCAGGGAATGCCAACACAATTGTCAAGAAGGGCCCACTGGGCCCAAATTGGGTTAGTATTCCTGTAGTGTGGGGTCAGCTTAAGCATGCTCAAACACCAGAGTGAGTGTGGTTTTATTTATTAATAACAATATCCTGTGCTATATGTTATCATCAATTATGCATCCAGTGCCCTCCCTGTTAAAATTTTACCAACTATTGGCCCCCCTCATATAACTATCACTTAAGAACAAGTGTCCCCATTCATATTGTGCTTTTTCTCAAATTAAGGCTGCCAGCGAGGTGCTACTAAGACCCTTCACTTATCAGGACAGAAGAGAATTATGACAACACTGTAAGAGGAAATATGCCTGATGTTTCAGAAACTGCCAGCTGGATTTTTCTGAATTTGGATAATGAGCTCAGACCGTGTACACATTCAGCTCAACACCCAAAAAGATCATTTAAAGCTACACTGCAAAGAGATGCATTCCTCACCCAACAGCACCAGAGAAAATGGCGATTTCTGTCATGTCTCTTTCTAGCCTCAGATTTACAAGTGTCATGTGGTGGTTGGAGAGGGAGAGAGGGTGAGGAGGGTTGAGACGGCTGTCCCTTTCCTTCCTGTTTATGTGTGTGTTGAAAGGTGATACTGTGTTGACAGTGGAATCCCTAAACGCCAGAACAGCAAATGATAGCCCTGCATGCTTATTGGTAGTTCAGACTACTGTAGTTTGTATGTGCTTGAGGTATTAACAGTTACACTAAAACACACACTAACACAAATACACATGCTGGGGATTGTTCAGAATCCTCCTTCAATCAACATTCAAAGTAAACTTCCAGCTAACACAACAGCTTCTAAGACAAAGACATACTTACTGAAATGAAATCAGCTTACTAACAGTAGATCAATAGCACAATGAGATAAGTAGGAGTTATATTTGGATTTACCCCAGAGGCTGTGAGGGCTATAAAAAGATCATATTCCCTCTCGAGAACAGAGCAGAAGAGTGTGTGTATGTATGTGTTTGAATAGACGCACACAGTGGCAAGTCAGGCAAGAGAGAGGGAATAACATTCCCAACACTTCTTGTGCTGTCCTGCCTGTAACCTGCAAGTTACCCACTGCACTCGGAATGAACCCAGCACACAATTAATAATGGAATAAACAATGACTACTGTCTCCACAACACATAGCACCATTGAGAGACTGGGAAAACATGCTAAAACACACACCAAATGCTCAGTCCCATAACACAGCTGTCAAGACACTAGAGTACAGTTCTTCCCTTGGTCTTCAGAGAAACTCCGAAAAAGTCAGAGTAAAGTCAAAGGAATTAAAAAAAAAAAAAGTTACTTTTTGCAAAAAAAAAAGTCACTATAGAGACAGAGAACACTGTATTTAAAGTCTGTGTCAAGTACACATAAAACCACAGTACAGACGTGAGAAACACATTGAAAGCTGACACACAAGCACACAACTTTACAAATATATACAGCGGCACACATCCGGTGGTCTGGCAGTGGTTCATGACCCCCCCCACCGCACAGATTAAAAGTGTGGCTGAAGCTCCTTACTGCACAAAGGAGTGGAGCCGCCTGGATCCCCCATGGCTGCATTTTCACGTTGAGCCCGGCCCAGCACACACCGGTAGCCACCGTCAGGACACACACCATCTTCCTGCTCCTCTTTCTCTCACTCTCCGTCTATCTACCTCCTCTCACCCATCGACCCTCTCTCCACCACTGCCTGCCTGCCTTCTAGTCTCTCGCGCCGCTGCTCACAAAGACCGTTTAGAGCTTATCTAACAAAGCAACACACCACACATGCTGCCTATCGCTCTCTTCCTTGCACTAGCTCTCTCTAAGTGAGAAAACAGAAATTCTTAGCCTAGCAGCTGCTGCGATGTCACATGACCTCTGCTGCCCCCCCCCAACACACACACACGCACCTCCCTCCTCCCCTCTCAACCTATAATTCCTCAGCCATTTGCAGATAACAGACACAGGCATACATGCCCTGCCAAGGCAAGCTGGAGGAGGGGGAGGGGAGAAGAGAAGACGAGAGGAGCTGAGGAGGAGGGGAGGGTGCTCAGCCGGTCAGCACATCTGACCCCATTACTGAGGAGTGATAGGCAGTATGGGTGCATGTGTACAGATGGATTTGGGGATGCAGGGGTAGGTTAAATATAAATATAAATATGTGAGGTGCCCTTCCTTTCTAGAGACAGAAAATGAAAGAGAGAATGAAAGAGAAAGAAAGGGGACATGTCCTGGCCTGTGTCGAGCCCTACGGCACAAGAGACAAAACCTTTTGTGTTAGAGTATTTACTCAGTCCAGTTTTCCTTATTTTGAGCAACTGCTCTGTATACGCTCATTAAAAACTACATTCTAAAAAACGGTGAACAAGTTCATTGTCTCTAAGTCAGCCATTACCGTTTCACACAAACAAGGAAGCCGTACCAAAAATGTGGACGTGCACTCATGCACTCAAAGCCTTTATAGTAGACACACACACGCTACATACAAACACACGCACTTCAATTACTAGGAGCTGTTATCAGGGTGGAGGAGACTAATGCGTAATAGTGGTCGGGGGTGGAGGACTCAGGAAAAGGGTAATAGCGTGGGTCTGACTTCCCTTCTGTCCATCTTGCTGTCACTGCAGGGGTGTGAATGAGTTGTTTCTTTAGTCACTTCCTTCTTCCGTCACTCGTTGCTTTTCTCAGAACAGTGAGGGCGATGAAAAGGAGAGGGAGTCTGTTTGGGGTAAAGCTACAGGCTTGCCAGCATTGTGCCAAAGGCCACCTCTCGACAAAGCTCCGTTCTGTTCCTCAGGCAATGGTCTGACACCCATGAGAAAACACAGCACTGCCACACTCTCCTCCATATTTGTCTCTCTCTCCTCCACCCCTTTCCTCTCAAGCATCAGCCTGCTGGATTTGGAGTATGTCTTTGTTGCATTTCATCATTTCCTGTCAACTCACCGTCTCTTGTCCAACAAAGGCAAAATGTCCAAAAATGCATATCAAGATGATCAGCTTTGAGGGAGCTGAAAACTGCACAGGAGAATGAAAAGTGGCATATTTATTTTTGCACTTATTTTAAGAATAGGATTGTGAAACATTGGGGGCACTGAAGATGAAAACATGGACTGAAATCAATGATAAGGTTATGTGGGTGAACAGGGCAAGCCTTCTCGAAGCTGTTTCCACTTTTTCTTTCTAAAGCAGAAACAAATACAATCCAAAAATGTCAAGGGTCTCTTTTCCAACTAAGTAATGACAAATAAGATGATCTAGGCAACCTCAGATGAGTAATGTATTATGAATCTCCAGACAAGTGAGCTACCGCTTAACATCACTGTGTTACAACATACTTGGCCAGGGTTTTATACAAGGTAAGGATTTACATCCTTTAAACATCCAGCAGATGGCACTGTCTCCCAGTTAACCAGAGGGAGTCCTCTGTTAATGAAACACCATATGCCAGTCCCTTAATCCAGTGACACAAAAGGAAAATAGATATGAAATGACATTGCTGTGGATTATGAAAGGGATAAGCTGCAT